AGTTTTTTGCCTTTTGTTTTGCTCTAAGGTAAGTAACAAATTATTTTGGATATGGATTTTTTTGGGGGATCTAGAGTGGGGTTCAATGGCTCGAAATGTATTTATTTTTTTTTAATAAATAGGTTTAAACTGAAAGTGTATGTAAAGCTTACAATTATATTCTCTTGTTTAATCCCTTTCAATCTGTTTAAATATACCAGTGAAAAGCAGTTTTGTTATATGTTTGATAAGTGCACAAAAACATATTCTGATCTTGCCAGAAATCTTATAACCTGATGACTTCCTGTGTTCTCTGCCTCTGCTGTACCTTTCTTAGTTGGCACTAATAACACTAAAACACTTAGGGGTTGATTTACTAAAACTATGGAGGGCACAATCTGGTGCAGCTCTGCATAGAAACCAATCAGCTTACAGGTTTTATTGTCAAAGCTTAATTGAAAGCTGAAGCTAGAAACTGATTGGCTAACATGCAGAGCTGCACCAGATTTTGCACTCTCCAGTTTTAGTAAATCAACCCCTTACTGCCTTAGAGTGACAAGAATGGATTACTTCACAGTGCCTGCAGCTACAGTGGTCAGTGGTGGCTCGGTTTGATCTTTATTTACTCCTTGTTAATAACACATGAATAATTGAATGTCCATAGGCCAACCACATTGTCCAAACCACAAATGTAACTAAAATGAAAAACAGAAAAATCAGCACAAGGGATATAACGTACAGTTAGTATGATGTGTCTTTTGTTCTTTTTCTTCTTTCAGGATAAATCTTCATCCATCCTGCCCCCTGACTATGTCCACCCTTTCCTGCCAGATCCAACATTAATAGAAGCCATACTGTAACTTCTATGAATGACACACAGGATCTATGAATGGAGGGGATGGAGCTCAATGATCTGCCCATCCCCTATTCAGAAATACTGTGTCATTCAAAGAAGCTGTAGTATGGCTTCTATGAATGGCGTATCTGCCAGGAATAGGAGGGCATAATTTGGCTCTCTGAGAGCTCCTGCTACTCCCTTAGCTGTAATAACCCCCACCATACTGGGAGATTACAGCGATGGGACAGGGTGGGGGGTTAGAACAGAGGAAGATTTCTGCTGAAAGGGGAAGAATCCGCTTTCACAGGAATTAGCCAGATATGTATACATACCTTGGTTCAAGCTGGCCTAATGTAACTTTGCAAAAAGAAAAAAACGAATTCAGCTTTAAGGAAATATGAACCAAACTTGTTCTTACTTTTTAAGCTCAGCCCACCCCCTTCCCATATAGCTTTACTTTTGCAGTCAATTGGTATATACGATGCATCAACAGGTGGACTGTTTAAAACAGTAAATGCTGTGTCCTGCCATTGATGCTCTTGCCTTGCTGTTGTGGATACATGACTGCAAGCATCTTTTAGTAAATAGAACCTTGGCCATGTTGCACACAGCATGGGCTTAAGGGAAATGTGCTAGAGGAGACACTTCATAATCAAAAGTATTTTATCTGCCAAGATATCAGTACTCACTTGTCATGGAGTCTGTTGCTGAATAGATTTGCATTGCAAATGAGCAAGAACTGAACACTGTGTATTGAGGAGGTGGCAGGAGCTTTTTGCACACATAATGCAAAGCATTTATTTAAAATGTGTTAAAAGGGGAGTAATCAGTTGAAAATAGGAATTACTGTAATTTAAATAATGACAATGACAACAATTTCTTCAATCTAGTTAAAGCTTTATTTTTTTCTCATTCTCAATCTGTGTGTCTCTCTCTCCCCTTCTTTCTCCTCTCTCTTTTCCTCTTTCCCATTCCCTTTCCCCCTCTCTCATTTTCTACCTTTCCAGTTCTCTTTCCCTTAGTCTCTCTTTTTTGCTCTCTCCTATTCATTCTTTCTCTCTCTTTCCCAATATCTTTTTCTCTTTATCTATGCCTCCTTCCCTTTTCCTTTGTGTCTTTTTGTCACCTTATTTTCTCTCTTCCATGTATCACCTGAAGTCCGCCAAAAATGACGTGTGTGGACCAACTATATAAAGGGTGATGGAAATATTGAAAGTTTAAAAAGGCATCTTCCACCCTTCTCTTTTATGAGGCTCAGTGGGAGCATGACTTGACGACTGTGATAGACCCGACAGACTGGGGAAAGGCCTGGTCATCTGTGGCAAAATGTTCCTTCAACACCACTAGTCTTGAAGCCTCTATAAAGTACCCTTACAGTGGTACTGGGTCCCTGTTCATATCGCCCATACTAATCCTAATAACAGTGATCGATGCTTCAGGGGTTGTGGCCATCACAGGGATATTTTACACACTTGCTGGATGTGCCCATGTCTGATAGGCTTCTGGTCTCGGGTCTTCAGCCTGCTGCATACTTTGTTCCATTTGAGAAACTGTAAGGACATCAAATTAGCCTCACTGTATTCTTCTATCGCCAGCCTGTATGCCCATTCATAGAAGTCGGCATCCTATCTATTTTGTTGACCAAGAGAACTATTGCCCAGGCCTGGAAAAAACCCAGTCTCATCGCAGGGTGGGAAAGGCCACATGACTGCCTTAGTGTTCAGTGAACTCGTTTCTAACATTTTGAAGGACTCTCATCTGAAATTTCTCAAGATTTGGGAACCTTGGCTCCAGTACTCATTCCCCTTGCTTCACCCGGAAAGCATTGGACATTTATGACAGTCATTTGCGATGGGCCCCAGTCCATGTTCCCCCTGCCGTCCTCTCCTTTCCCCCTCCCTTGTCTCTTGTCCCTCTTTTCCTCAGTTTCTTCTTCTTCTGTGGGGTTTCTTGCCCACAACTCCCTTTCTTTTAGTCTTGAATTGCACTATTGACAGGAAGCCTATTCACCAGTGTTTGTCACGGCATGCCACAAGTCCTCACTTAGGGCTTCCCACTTATTCGTTGCACTTATGTTATTTTTGTTCTTCTTTCGCACCGTGGTACATTGAATATTTTAGAATGCCTTATGTCTAAGCCCCTGTGTGGGCAAGATTGGTGCTGTCCGTGGTCTATTTTGCAAACCAAATAAAAATGATTGAACCAGAAAGTTTAAAAATGCCATAAGTGCACCACCTTGACCTTAACTCCATGCAAACCAGACCTTCAAGGATGAGTACATATGGACAGCAGAGGTGGGATAAGATGTGCGTTGCTTGGCTGGTCACTTTCTCAATGAGTTTTGTGATGTACACATTCCAAGATTTACCTACCTGGCTGATGGAGGTGTTATTAAAAAGGAAGACAAGGAACGCATCTTCTGGAAGCCAGCAGCTTGCATCCTACTGGGATAAAGAGGTGTGAAGAAGTAGAGGTAGGGCTGGGAGGGTGCATTGAGTCTGTACAGCCAACATTTTGAAACTTGGTGCTACTTGGCTTTACTCTCTTTCCTTCACCAGTGTCTGGCTAATGAATGTTGGAGTAGCAAGCCATGGGAGCATAGCCTGAGTTGGATGGGGGAACTAGAGAGAAGGGGAGAGAGGGGTGAACCAAAGACTGATAGGGGGACTGTTTGACTGTGACCCAGGCACACACAGGTGGCACTTTCACAGTATTATAGGACCTGTCTCTTCCCAGGGAACACATAAACTACAAGTTAAACTAATGAAATAGCTAGTCCCACAGTTCACTGGGTACAATGTGTAATCATGTGTAGCCAGTTAGGAAGATCTGATAGTGCCATGTGAGAGTGTCAAAACTTTACTGACTGGCTGCAACTTCAAAATGTCTGATTGGCTACAGGTTTTGTTTACACATTACACTCAGAGAACTGCAGGGGCATGGATGTTTCATTCATTTAATGTATAATTTCTCACAGTAAATGCTGAGGGTTCTGTGGGCCCGGAGGTGGAGAACCCTTGATGTAGAATGCTCTCTTTCATTCTACTATAGAAACAAATTGTTCCTGGTTTTGGGTGCAGTTCTCTGCACATACTATACTTTTTTCTCTTTACTATGAATTCTTGGACATCCCCTGTTAATGCAGTCTGTGTACACCTCTCAAAGTATTTTCAGCTCCCCCAAGTCTGCAGATGGCTTTGACTGTTACTTCAGATTTGTTTTGCACAGTGTGACTTGAGGTAATTCTAACTTCTGCTGACAACCTAGCTCATTGTGCCTTGTTACATAAATTGTTTACTGCCTGCTCCAAATTACTGCCTGTTTCAACTAATAGCTTACTAATTTGATGCTAACAGATAACTAGCAAATGGAAAAAAGACTGATGATGAACAGATTCTTTTTAGGCATGAACCAAATGTGAACTCACAATTTGCCATTGCACTGACTGTTATAATGGTATTGTACATCATTAAAGCGCAGGTCTTGATCTGTCCTTAAGTCCTTTTACCTTCTTTTTGTCTTCTGCTTCTTCTTCCTCTTCTTCTTTGTCGTCTTTCTACCTATCTTCTCTTCTTTCTAATTTTTTAATAGATCTTAATCTTGTTTGACTGCTGAGTTATCTGCCTTCTGCACCCTTGTAAGTTTCATGATTTATAACTATGGCATTGCTTTGCTTTTTAAATGGGGCAATTTTTAAGTGGGAAATTTTTGTGCTCCCCAAAGTGCAACTTTATCACTATTATACTTTTGCTTGTGTATGCTGACAAGTCCCTTGCATGGGCAGCATGGGTAAATCCTCAACTTCAACAGAGGCAGAAATACAAATTATTTTATGTAGCGGCAGAGTAGGGGAAGCCTAGAACACTTTTCAGACATCCAGTGCTTCTTGTAAACCTGGTGTGGAATTTTTCACTTCCTCTCTGCTATAAATGTTATCAGCATGATAGGAGGTGAGGATACATTTTTCTAACAAAGCCCCGGATTCTTCTGCACTCTATTCAAAGATAGGGTGGGGAAGGAAACTGATCAGTAATGGCAGCAGTGGTATTTCACTCATGACAGTATTGCTTTAACTAGGAAATAATTTGACATTCATATGTGTTGTTTACTATTACTGCATATAGTATAGAAGGAAATTCATAATTTTACTAATTTTGTTGTTTGACATTTTATAGGACACATCATGTTGACCAGCATAGCAGAACGTATAATGTACTGCCTGACAGGCAAAACACCAAATTCTGTAGGTCCAGCAGATATATCAGAAACCGGCGATGGTTACGATTTTCTGGAGGTGAAGCCAGGCCGTGTCTTACGAGTACGACACATCTTGCCTTCTCGCCCTGGAGGTGGAGAGATAGAGGAAGTAGAAGAAGTGAAGAACTCGGGAAAAGGCCTAATTCATTGCAAGAGAAGGATAACTGTCTATCGTAATGGTCAGCTAGTGATAGAAAATCTTGGTGCCACCCTTCGTTCTGAAATCTTACATTGCCGCAATGGGAACACAGAGCAATCTGGAACATTGGAGGTGGAGCTTTCAGATTACACTAGTACAGGCAATGATGGTGGAGGAGGAAAAGAGAGTGATGTACCTCCTGGCAGACGCAGAAAGCGCAAGCCAAAGAAAGTAGTACTGGTTGATTGCCAAAGACGAGTCAGCAGCTGTAAAGGCACACATTCTGATGTAGTCCTGTTCTTCATTCATGGTGTTGGAGGGTCTCTTGATATATGGAAAGAACAACTTGATTTCTTCTCTAAACTTGGCTACGAGGTAGTAGCCCCAGATTTGGTAGGACATGGTTCCAGTGCAGCTCCACAAATTGGGGCAGCTTACACGTTCTATGCTCTCGCAGAGGATATGAGATGTGTCTTCAAACGTTATGCCAAGAAAAGGAACATCTTAGTTGGACATTCATATGGGTGAGAGTTTGAAAACCAAAGCTGTAGAATTATGGCTTACACACCACGTGGCATATTAAACTGGTTTTCATTCAAAGAGAAATTGTACTTTATATAGAGGAAGACATACCCACTATTTATTTTGAATGGGCTTGCAGTGCACTGTAATATACAAAAAAGAGACGTACACTTTTTTTAAATTATAAAACTTTTATTTTATTACTTTTGATTTGCACAAAGTAAGTGTGGGGAGAATCGGGATCACACTGAACATACACATACTGAATATATAGTCAATTAAAATGAGGTACAGGGTCATACAATCAGAAGTTGATGGCAATGGTATTGGACTGTGGAACCACCATTGGAAATTGCTAGTGAGTAAGTCAATGTGCTTTCTAGTAAAAAAACAAAGGCCAGTAGGTGATCCTTATGAAGAACAGAGAAGAGGGGGAAAATCTGTAGACAGTATGGGAGGGAAAAGAGATAAGAATGTGTGGGAAAGAAAAGTTGAAGTAAGGTGAGGGGGGGGGGGGGGTCCCTACACGGTAGAAATTGTACTTGGTCAGCTATCCGCTCTTGGGTATGTTTGAAATCGGAGGAAATCACTCAGACAATCCGTGTGGCTAGGTAGGTTGATTATATGTCATGGAGGGATGCTAAGAGTTCTTCCATGCTCTGTATGTATGTAAGTTCCTAAAGCCACTTTGTGACAGTTGCAGTTTGTGTAGTTTTACAGTGGCAAGGGATTACAGCCCCTTCTGTCTGCTGGAAAGTCTAAGGATGCCTTTTTTTGGCTTTGGAGATAGACCTTGAGTCTGGGGAAGTAAGGCAGCTTCAGGGGGCATTTGGATATCCGAGCTGGTGACTTGTTTGTACAGGATTGATATTTTTGTACAAAAACTGTGAAGTGGGGAAGAGGCACAATGAAATCAGTGGTGAATGGAAATATTTTATGTAATTTAGGTGGACAATGGTACTACCTAACTTTTTTTAGAACTACGTTTATAGAAAAAACTCATTTTTTTTTTTTAGAAAAACGATTTATAGGTAAGAGTAGCTATGTTATGTGGATTGTCAGCCTGAAATTGACAGTTTCCCACTCTATCAGATAGTATGATATAAAAGAGTATGGGTTGTGCAATAAGATAGGGTATATTTGTGTTATGTTGTGTGCAGGGCGTGCCTCTTGCAAAGAAAGAGATTCATAGGAAGTCAAGTCCCTGGTTATCTGACCTTTATTGTGTAGACAGACCACAAAACCATGTAATTGAAAATTTCAGAGCCAGTGGCCATGGGCAGGTTGTAAGTAGTGGAGAAAGGCTAACTTTTACCATAGTGAAGGACATCATGAATAGAAGAAAGGTTTGATCACGTCCATTAAAGTAAGCAGAATCAGGCAAGACCAGGAAAAATAAATATATATACCCAGGATAGGGGTGTGCACCATGTAGACTTTCCTTACACTCAGACTTTGAATCGAACAGTTTTTATTGAAGTTTTTGCATTATAAACAGTACAAACATTTCCCCCAGACTTCCTTCTTTCTCCCAGCTTCATGTCCACAATGCAAAGGCACAACAGAAAAGTATCTATACTGTACATAGACACTGACTGCTTAGTGAAAGATGGAGCAATCACCTGGTCAATAGCATATTAGAGTACTGTAGGAACCTTCATGTAATACCTTTTTTACTCAATAATAGGAGCTACTTACACTCACACCTTAAAATTAACCATACTTGTATTCATCTGTGTAAGACTATGGTAAGAACAATAGATTACATTCTTCTTAGTATGCCAAGAACTGATTTAGGTGAACATTCTCTGTAAAGTGATACATAAATTATTTAGGCACTGAAGCAAAGATAAAGATGACACCCATGAGGTTTGCACCTTAAAACTCATTGCAGTTTATTTCAATCTGGACAGCTTTCATTTAAATTGGTATTAAATCCCAAAGCTAACATCTATCCTATTACCAATTCTTAGATGTGATGTCTGCATTAATTTCCTTTTTAGGCTTTCTCTCTCTTGCATTTTCATCTGGTGATCCAGCCTGAAGTTTGTTGTTTTTTAAAAAAAAACAAGCTATCCAGCTGAATGTATTAGTTATAGGGATGGAACAAAGTATTCACTACTGTCATGGCTTACAGTGATCAGCAAAAAAAAGCTGTTTGCTGTAACTTCTTAAAAAGTATTAGCTGGAGTTTGGCGTTTGTTAGTGTATCTAAATCTGCTATTACATCAAACACTACTACCCCCCAGACTAAAAATGCAGCTGTCCACAGTCCCCCCTGTGATGAGAACCACGATTCCGCCCACGATTTTTGTAGAACGATTTTAATGGGATTTTGCGTGTTGCACAAATGGCAGCCCATTCACTTCAATAAGCTGTCCTATGTGCTTTTGTAGCCCAAAAGAATCTCCTTCTCATTTTTGGACGACAAGCTCAGCATGATCTTTAAATGTACAGTTTACCACGGTTGCCACACAATTCTGTTGTTTGACAATTGCAGCAAAATCGTTTGGAAAATGAGAGGCACCCAAACGCGGGTCATGTATTTTGCCTTGATTTGGAATCGTGGGCAGAATGGCAGTGATTCTGCTGGCTTGTTTACATCCACAGGATATAAACCTGGACTATTCTGAGATGTATGTTTGAATTTAGAGACAGAACAGGCACTTGATTGTCTGCTCATGTCTTTTGTTGATGTTATTGGTACTTGGTACCTGTTTACTCTGTGATTTCACAGAATTATAGAAACAGTATACTGACCATGAACATAAATGTTTCATAGACATTGAAATTATGATGTGGATACAATAGAAAAAAAAAATATAATTAGCAAGCATTGTTACCAAGAACTGTGCTACGAGGAAAAATAGAGTTCAGAGAGAAATGCAGAATATAGCAGAATTTTTCTTTATAATCTAGCATGTAAAGATTTTAAACACACTGAACTATGATGGCTGAAGTTCCTTTCTTAATATTTTTTTTTTAAAACCCTTAGGGTCTCCTTCTGTACCTTTCTGGCCCATGAGTATCCTGACTTAGTCCACAAGGTGGTTATGATTAATGGTGGTGGACCCACAGCCCTTGAGCCCAGCCTCTGCTCCATCTTTAACATGCCTACTTGTGTGTTGCACTGTTTGTCTCCTTGCCTGGCGTGGAGCTTCCTCAAGTGAGTTTTCAACAGATTTTTCTATTTGTCAGATTTTAAAATCATGTATTTGTACAGTTTGAGGTGTCCGAGAATTGGGACACTTTCAAGCTTATTCAGTTAAACAGTGAAAATGTATGAGTGCCATAACCTTCAGCAAGTGGTCAACTCCAGTTCCTGCAGTAGGTGCTCTTCTCTGCTCCACTTACAGATCTGGGATGTAGGTGAGTCCTCAATATTTGCATGTACGCTTGTCTCGCAGTGTACATGATGATATCGGTGAAGTGGCAGCTGCAGGGCTGGTGAAGAGGAACAGCTTCGGGAAAACAGTTGTTTGGTGGGGAAGAAGTCATTCTGTCTATTACATACCCTCTGTATTAAGTGAGCGCAGGGGCGGACTGACAACTCATGGGGCTCCCGGGCAATAGGGGAACATGGGGCCCCTGTGTCCTTGCCCAAACTCAAAAAAAACCTATGAAAAAGGTACCAGGGGTATCTCATGGGGCCCCCCTAATGACCCGGGGCCCTCGGGCACTGCCCGAGCTTCCAAATGGTCAGTCCGCCCCTGAGTGAGCATTAGACCATTAAAGTTGTTATAAATAAAGAATCACCTCCATCCCATGGAGCAACCACGACCATGTGGGAACACAGAGCCTCATGTGTCTATGGCTTCCAACTGTCCCTCCTTTGGAGGTTCTATCTCTCTTTTAGAATCAAATTGCTTTGTTCCTCTTTCCTCCTTAGTTGTCCCTCTTTTTCACGTAATGTAAAGACCTCTATTAAAATGTACTATTTAAAGTGGAACTTCACCCCAAAGGGGGAATTTTACTTTTCGGCTTCACTCCCCTTGTCTTCTACTTTTGCCATATTATTTTTTTATTTGGGGAGCAGATACTGGGTTTTGACAGGTACCTGCTCCCACTTCCATTCGTATTGCCTAAGCGATCCAAGTGGAAGCTCGAATCCCCCCTCCCCCCTTCCTGCCATCAGCTTTCTGGGACAGAAGGCTGCAGGACCATTCCCAAAGTAGTTTCCCCCTTTAAAGAAGCTTGACACCTGGGACCCAAATACTAGCGAAGAACTAGCTCAGGTGATGATGATCCCTGGCAGGGGTGGACTGACAACTCATGGGGTCCCCGGGCAATAGGGGATCATGGGTCTCCTGTGTCCTTGCCCAAACTCAAAAAAGCCTATGAAAAAGGTACCAGAGGCATCTCATGGAGCCCCCTACTGACCCCTGGCCCTCGGGCAGTGCTCGAGTTTCCAAATGGTCAGTCCGCCCCTGATCCCTGGACAGATAAGTATCCTTTAACTAAGTTAGTATTTGTAGCTGCTGATTTTTAATTTTCTTTTTAGACTGAAGAGCCGCTTTAACTACCAGAAGTGATTTACTGCACCACACCTTTTATCAAACCTCCACATTATTGTATTTGTTATTTTGAAATGAAAAGCCTACATGAAAAGTAGTGAAAAAAACACTGGGTGTATTCATTCATGCTTGCATATTTATTTTTCATGGTTGGTAAAGCTGGGGAGTGACTGGGGTGTGTTCTCTGCCTATATATTTTGTAATATAATGTGCTACTTTTCCTGTGTTAATCAGCCATGATCATCAGTAGTATCAATACAGGCTAAAAAAAAAAAAATAAAAAAATAAAAATTTATAGTGCCCAAAAGTGAGGTTTGCAATAGCTTGGAAATACCAGTTTTACAGGCCAACTATACCAATGCATTTTTAACATTTGTAAATAAATGTGCAATAAAAACAGTATATAACAGGCACTGATACATGAACTGGTAGGCACTGGCTTTTGGACTCCACACCGTTTAACAACCCCGTGACAACGGATCAAAATAATATTGATTGCTCTTGAAAGAAAATTACATTGAAACTTAAAGAAATTAAAACTTTAAAGACTCTATAGAGAAAATACTGTATTAACCACTTCAATACCAGGCACTTTTACCCCCTTCCTGCCCAGGCCAATTTTCAGCTTTCAGCGCTGTTGCACTTTGAATGACACTTGCGCAATCATATAAAACTGTACCCATATGAAATTTTCAGCCTTTTGTTTCACACAAATAGAGCTTTATTTGGGTGGTATTTAATCACCACTGGGTTTTTTACTTTTTGCTAAATAAATGAAAACAGACCAAACATTTTGAAAAAAATTATGTTTTTCTTTGTTTCTGTTATAACATTTTTGCAAATAAATAATATTTCTTCATAAATGTAGGCCAAAATGTATTGCTCTACATTTTTTTTGGTGAAAAAAACCCAAAGAAGTGCATATTATTTAGTCTGTAGGAAAGTTATAGAGTTCACAAACTATGGTCCTGATGTACTGATGGCCTCATTTCTTGAGGCCCAAAAATTCCAGGACAGTACAAATATCCCCCAAATTACCCATTTTTGAAAGCAGACAGTCCAAAGTATTAAGTAAGAGGCATGGTGAGTTTTTTGAAGTTGTCATTTGTTTTGGAAAATTAGGAAATTAAATAATGAAATAAAAAAAAATGTTCACAATTTTTTACATACTGTCACCAGTGCAATACAGCATCATCTTATAACTGGTGTGGCGGTGATCAGGGATACTAACTGGTGTCAATATGTAAAAATAAATAAATAAATAAATAAATAAAAAATTAATGCTTTTTTTTTCTTTTTTGTTATTTTTTATTACAGTTTTTTTTAATGATTTTTTAACACACTGTGACCAGAATAATATAATGTTACCATTATATGGTAACTTTGGACCACTGTGGGAAAGTTTTTTTTATTTTTTTTTATACACATTATGATTGCTTATACCAGTGAATTTTACTAACATAAGCAACCATTTTTTACTGAATGAAATTGATTCATTCAGTGTGTATTGTTGTGATTAGCTGTGATTGACCACAGCTAATCACATGGTACAGATGGGCTGTGATTTGCCCTGTCTGTACCATGTGATCACTGTGACCAATCACAGCTAGCAACACAATTGTACACAATGACTGGCATGTATCAAAGCCATTAATTGTTTATATTTGTCATGTGATCTGCTGTGATCGGCTGTGTCTGGTGGACACAGCTGGTTATTGGTCGCACCGCAGAGTCCACCCAAGGTGACAAAAGTCAGTGATAGTTCACGTCGCAGCAACCACCCGAGACAACGAAAGTCCTGCCTGGCCGTCATATTACAATAGGCCAGGCGGGAAGTGGTTTATGTAATGTAACTAATAACAACTTAAAGTACATAAGCCATAGACATCAGGTTCACATTACAGTTTGTCTCTTAAAGCTCATCTTCTGTAGTAGTGATGGTCATCTCCATCTAGTGGCCGACATGCACACTGCTTAGTTCAATGTTATCCCATTAGAGCATGCACACGACAAACCTGCGAAGGGGGCCCCAAGGTTTCGACTGCCTAGGGGCCTCCACAGAGTTTAATCCGACACTGATTTTTATCATTAATGCTAGCCGGTGTGGGAACCTCCATCCAGTGCTATCCAGTGAGTGAATATGATCCATTATGATTGTATTGCATTGTAAAAAAGATCATGTGTCATTGTGAAAACATTGCTGATTTATTTTTGTCTTGTCAGGGCTGGGTTTGCTCGACAAGGTGCCAAAGAGAAACAGCTCTTACGAGAGGGCAATGCCTTCAATGTGTCATCCTTCGTACTACGAGCCATGATGAGTGGCCAGTACTGGCCAGAAGGCGATGAGGTGTATCACGCAGAGTTAACTGTCCCTGTGCTGCTTGTGCATGGAATGCATGACAAATTTGTTCCCCTAGAAGAAGACCAAAGGATGGCAGAGGTACTACATTCAAATAGTCGTATGTATGAAATGGCTATTACATGTTTGTTCTGCGTTTGAAAATTGTTATATTGCCCAAAGCCACCCTTGTAATGGTTCTGTTCTTTACATGCAAGTTGGAGACAGAGGCAATCACCAATCTGACATTTTATTTATACATACTGTATATTAGCTTGTGTACTAAATTGAGTTTCTAAGCTGAATTTAGCTTGCTGGAAAAAACCCATATTTGCACGACTGCACTGCCCTCTAATGGTACAGCATGTGTGTATGACGTGCTTACATTTCACCATTCTGCTACAGATTGCAAGTCTGCAAAATCTTTCGCATAATAGTCACTGAGAAGTAAGCAGAAGACAGATACATAGAATACAGGCGTACTTTACATTTTATAAAATCCTACTGCTCTTTTCCTACAGACTTAAAGGTTTTTCAGACTTGAATTTTTCCATATTGATAAAAGACTTTTCCCACTGTATTGTACTGAACAAGTATGCTTCTATTAAAACCATATAACACGGGGCTCCTCCTATTTCTGTGTGATAAATCAGTGCTTTTCTTCAAATCTGGCAGCTTCTATAGTGTTTGTCCATGATATTTATTTTTGAACATTTTTTGCAAATTTAATTTGCAGTCCCAAACCCTGTTTTCTTTTTTTCCGCTTTTCTACCCAGTACCATCCAGTATATTGTGGTTTGAGATATACGAGTATATGTGTATGGGTGTGTGTGTGTGTATATGTGTATATATTATTATTATTATTATACAGGATTTATATAGCGCCAACAGTTTGCTCAGCGCTTTACAATATATATAGAGAGAGAGATATAAAGAAATATATATACAGTGTGTATGTACAGTGGGGCAAAAAAGTATTTAGTCAGCCACCAATTGTGCAAGTTCTCCCCACTTAAAAAGATGAGAGAGGCCTGTAATTGGCATCATAGGTAGATGATCGTGTGGTCCTGGGATTTTTGCTCATCGTTCTTGTGATCATTTTGACCCCACGGGGTGAGATTTTGCGTGGAGCCCCAGATCGAGGGAGATTATCAGTGGTCTTGTATGTCTTCCATTTTCTAATTATTGCTCCCACAGTTTATTTGTTCACACCAAGCTGCTTGCCTATTGCAGATTCAGTCTTCCCAGCCTGGTGCAGGTCTACAATTTTGTTTCTGGTGTCCTTCGACAGCTCTTTGGTCTTCACCATAGTGGAGTTTGGAGTGTGACTGTTTGAGGCTGTAGACGGGTGTCTTTTATACTGATAACAAGTTCAAACCGGTGCCATTGATACAGGCAATGGGTGCAGGATAGAGAAGCCTCTTAAAGAAGAAGGTACAGGTCTGTGAGAGCCAGAAATCTTGCTTGTTTGTAGGAGACCAAATACTTATTTTCCACCATAATTTGCAAATAAAGTCTTTCCAAATCAGCCAATGTGATTGTCTGGATTTTTTTTTTTCTCATTTTGTCTCTCATAGTTGAGGTCTACCTATGATGCCAATTACAGGCCTCTCTCATCTTTCTAAGTGGGAGAACTTGCACAATTGGTGGCTGACTAAATACTTTTTTGCCCCACTGTATGTGTGTGTATATATATATATATATATATATATATATACACACACATACATACACACTGTATATTTCTTTATCTCTCTCTCTATATATATATATATATATATATACAGTGGGGATCGAAAGTTTGGGCACCCCAGCTAAAAATTTGTATTAATGTGCATAAAGAAGCCAAGGAAAGATGGAAAAATCTCCAAAAGGCATCAAATTACAGATTAGACATTCTTATAATATGTCAACAAAACTTAGATTTTATTTCCATCATTTACACTTTCAAAATAACAGAAAACAAAAAAAGGCGTCTGCAAAAGTTTGGGCACCCTGCAGAATTTATAGCATGCACTGCCCCCTTTGCAAAGCTGAGACCTGCCAGTGTCATGGATTGTTCTCAATCATCGTCTGGGAAGACCAGGTAAGAAGATAGCAAAGCGTTTTCAGATGTCAATATCCTCTGTTTGTAATGTAATTAAGAAATGGCAGTCATCAGGAAGAGTGGAAGTTAAAGCAAGATCTGGAAGTTCAATTTTAACCTCATCGGTCCACAGAACTTGTTTCCAAAATGCATCAGGCTTGTCTATATGTTCATTTGCAAAGTTCAAACGATGATTTTTGTGGTGAGGACGTAGAAGAGGTTTTCTTTTGATGACTCTTCCATGAAGACCATATCTGTACAAGTATCTCTTTATAGTGGAATAGTGTACCACAACTCCAGTGTCTGCCAGATCTTTCTGGAGGGATCGTGCAGTCAAACGTGGGTTTTGAATTGTTTTTCTCACAATCCTGCGAGCTGTTCTGTCTGATATTTTTCTTGGTCTTCCAGATCTTGCTTTAACTTCCACTGTTCCTGATGACTGCCATTTCTTAATTTCATTCCGAACAGAGGATATTGACATCTGAAAACGCTTTGCTATCTTCTTATAGCCTTCTCCAGCTTTGTGAGCGTCAACTATTTTCAGTTTCAGTTTTCTAGACAACTGCTTAGAAGAACCCATGGTGCTGATTGTTGGGGCAAGGTCAGATGAGTCTGGGCATTTAAAACCTTTGAGATTGACATAACCTGGTCTTCCCAGACAATGATTGAGAACAATCCATGACACTGGCAGGTCTCAGCTTTGCAAAGGGGGCAGTGCATGCTATAAATTCTGCAGGGTGCCCAAACTTTTGCAGACGCCTTTTTTGTTTTCTGTTATTTTGAAAGTGTAAATGATGGAAATAAATCTAACTTTTGTTGACATATTATAAGAATGTCTAATCTGTAATTTGATGCCTTTTGGAGATTTTTCCATCTTTCCTTGGCTTCTTTATGCACATTAATACAAATTTTTAGCTGGGGTGCCCAAACTTTCGATCCCCACTGTATATATATATATATATATACACACTTTATATTTTAGTTATATATACCGCTAGAAAACAGCAAAGTAAGAAATGCATAGTAGTCTTTACTTCAAGCTTCAAAAAACCCTCATCTACAGTATAGAATCAATTATTGCTAATTATTTGATTTCATTTTTCAAAATAAAAGAACCTGATGTAATGAAGTATGTAATGCACATGCCTATAGGTTTATGTCATCTTACTTTGTGCTTTAGTGAATAAAATGCAAGGTATAAAACTGTAAACCCTGAAATAGTAAAGCTCGACTCCAGGCAGTTGAAAATAAAAAAAACAAAATAACGCTGTTCTGTATTAGTTAATACATAATTAAATGTATTTTTAAATGCAAGCAATGTAGTACCTACATTTTATCTGATATCAGCTACCTGCAAACCAATCAACAGAGCTTAAACTGGAAGAGGGAAAAGCAGCACAGAATCAGTTGTGCTGCAGTGCATATGTCCTAATTAAGAGTATTCTGACTGAAGCAGAGAGCACAGTGACAGAGAGTGAGCTCATCAGCCAGGCTTGGGGGGGCGACATGTGTTTGTGAACTGCATTAGAGAGCAATCAGGTTTCTTGCCCGGCCACACAAGAATATGAGACACATTTTTACTCAAAATTGATGCATAATTAAATGTGGTCAGGGGCTGGTTTTATTATTTTGTATTGGCATTTTAGAGCAGCTGAGGAGTGATTTATGAAATAGACTACCTAAGTTTGATGAATCTGTCTCAAATTCCTCCAATTTTGGAAATACCTTCTAAAGTATTTTAAATTTAGTGAAGTGTTCTTGGTGGATCACATGGCACAGGTCTAAAAATTAAATCCGTTTTTTTTTTCCTTCACATGCAGATCCTACTAATCACATTTCTAAAGGTGATAGAAGAAGGCAGTCACATGGTCATGCTGGAGTGCCCAGAAACTGTTAACACTCTACTTCATGAGTTCTTCTTATGGGAGCCAGAACTACAGAACTCAAGTGTAGAAGAAATTGTGACACAGGAAGTCGTGAATGAATGAGGAAGAAAATAAGTACCTGACTATGCTGAGAGACAGAAGAGAGACTTTTCTGCTTTTAGGCCAAACAGTGACGCAAGTCTACGTTTGGAGAAGATGTCTGCTGGTCTGAAAACTACTGGCCAAGGTTTAGAGATTTTGGTTCCCAGAGGATGGCGCCCAGGGAGAATTTTGTTTCAACAATTCAGGAATTTAATATAGTGCAGCATTCAAAAGAGGTCTTCCACCAACTGGCCTCCAAATGAGCCATAACAAGTTGCAGAAAAAAGGAAGAGGTTGCCCAAGGTCCCTTGTTGGTAACACATCATGTTGACAGTTCATGTAGAATTATGGTATGTTACCTTGTAATGAACCTTTTAGACCATAAGTCCAAATAAGAGGAAGGTATTTCAACAGAAGAGGATGGTTTCTTTCTTGGTAACACATCAAGTTGACAGTTACTGTAGAATTATGGTATGTTGCCTTGTAATGAACCTTTTAGACCATAAGTCCAAATAAGAGGAAGGTATTTCAACAGAAGAGAGTGGTTACGAGAGGAAAACAAATAAGAATACTGAATTACTATTATCAAATTTAAGACATTGGCAATCCACCTACTAAATATCGGACTGTGGATGCAGACAGATTACCCCTTTATTGCCAAAGATAAACCATTGGCAGCAAAAGGGTTGCAAATATTGATGTATAATCCATGCTGAAGCCAGACCTGTTGGCTAATGAATGGCTAATGTACAGCGTGAGGCATCACATAGAGAATATTTAAGAAGTATAAATATTGTTGATAATGTATTTTCTGTGTTTCACATCTACGATTTGCTGTCCATCTCCTTCTGTTGTTCACATAGAAGTTGTCTGATGGCAGTACTGAATCTAAGTAAACATGTAATTTATTAATATTTCTGGCCTGTGTGTTTTATTATCCATTTCACTGAACCTGCTTTCACCAAACAATCTGTAAAGAAAATGAAAGAAAAGGAAAATGGTCTTTAATACTTATCACAATGTTCCCTTAGAGAGCTAATTTTCCAATTTCTATTTTAACCCAATTCATGTCCTCTGTATCAGTTGCTGGTTATCAGCAGTACTCACAGCAAGAGGAAAGTGCTGCCAATACCCAGCAACTGTATTTACATTGTGATCTGCTGTGTCATTGGACACAGCTGATCACGTGGTAAAAGGCCACTGTGATTGGCATTTTAACTCATCATGCGATCAGCGGTGTCCAGAGGACACAGCGATCACAGAGTTCGCCGGGTGCACGCCACTGAGGGGCTCATTCTGGGAGGACATCATATGACGCCCTCCCAGAACTGGACAACCACGATGTAGCTGTCATTTGGCTATTGTGCGGTTGGCAAGTGCTTAATGCATTCTCTGCTGTATTCCCTACCCCTCCTTAACACTGACCTGACTTCTGTATCAATCCAGCTCTGTGCATGGCTTCAGGTCTTCTCTCCTCTTCTTGGACTCACAGGCCTTGCTTTTTTTTGCGGCCATTGGCTCCTGCTGCTGCTAGTCAAATTCAGTGAGCTCGGTGGGAACCAGCACACTGTGTGTGTTATGGACACACACAGCCTGGCCTGGAAGTGAGCAAGCGCACAAGCTCTTGCTATGGGGCAGACACAGAAAACAAAAGCCAAGAACACCCGTCAGGAGACCCCAGAGGTAAGGGGCAGCTCTGTGCAATATCCTAGCACAGAGCAGGTATGTATAAACCTGTTTATTACTTTAATTTAAAAAATGACTTTAAAATCACTTCAGCTGGCAATAATTATTGTCAGGAAATCAGTGCTGCTTTTAGCCTGTTATCTGTTGATAACATCCTGGTTACAACACTTTCATAGTCTTGTGCACATTCATATGAACATTTACACACCTATTTCTATTGATTCAAATACATGATGCCTTCAAGCTTAAAATGTTACTAAACCCACAACAGTAAAATCAGTCTGTATATGCAGTAAAGCATGCTTGTTATGCTCACGGTGGAATCTAAGGGGTTAATCCTCTGCACTGTGTAAAAAGGCTGTGTTCCTAATTTCTCTGCCCTTCCTCTTGTTCAAATGTGCACCTGATAAGACAGACTGAACCCGTAGTCACATGCACATGCTCAGTTTAGTTTGTATTGTTAGAGAGGTTTTTTTTTTTTCTTGGGAGAGCACACGTGATCAGAACAGGGCCAATCAGCACTGTCCAGACAGAGGTCATGGGTTTCGCATCCTCCTAGAGCAGAGAGAAAACGCCTCCTACAAGCTTTAACTAGTGATCGGCTGGACACTGATAAAAGTCACAAGACTGCTCTAACTGCTGATGAGAAAAGGTATTTAGCTGTTTATATTTACTAAAATAATTGCATTTCCATGTTGTGTGTACTGTGGGAGATCAGATATAGTGAATTGCAGGGTCCTGGGTTTAGTAACACTTTAAGCAATTACTACAGCATATCTGTGTCTTGTTGCAGGTAAGAGCGGGTCATCATAATGTAAATCTACTACCAGGGGCGGACTGACAACTCATGGGGCCCCCGGGCAATAGGGGATCATGGGGCCCCTGTGGCCTTGCCCAAACTCAAAAAAGCCTATGAAAAAGGTACCAGGGGCATCTCATGGGGCCCCTTACTGACCCCCCGGGGCCCTCGGGCAGTGCCTGAGTTTCCAAATGGTCAGTCTGCCCCTGTCTACTACTTGTGGACTGGAAAGCAAATATGTAATAATTCCGTACAAATGCTATTGCTAACCTTCTTATGAAATTGCTACTTTGTACCAATCACTTAAAACAAGTATGCATGTTAGAAATCACTTTGACAAAAACAGCCTCTAGCATTTCTGGCCGCGGCCAACTTGTGTAAGGGTATTCCTGTAGTATTTACTTCCTGGAATCTATCTGCCCTCAGCTCAGGTATGCAGGCAGGAGAGCTTCGCTGAGGAAGCCCCTCCTCCTTTCTTGAAGACTTCTAGGATACATGACATCATTTTCATAGGACAGAAACCAGTAAGTAACTGAAGAAATGTAAAAAAAAAGCTTAAAACAAGTAAAGATAATACACCTTCTTATCTATTGACTAATGGCAGCCGTATAAGGATTAAAAATAGTCAATGCTGACTGACAGAATGAAGTTTATCTCAGAAATCTTTATCTACATAATGGCTACACTTCAAATTCAATAATATAATCAATAATCCTGGTTATAATATATAAACATAAGTGACTGTAGCGCTATAGAAGGTGCCAAACATAAATGTGATCTTGTGAATAGTCTATTATCCAAAAAAGTGTTCATAGATTTGTGCAGGCTTGACATGGTCAGGTCAACATATTAGTGCTCCATATAATCCAATTGCTCTAGTGACTTCCAGTAAATCCATGTGACTTAATCCATGCAAAAGACTGTAAAAAAAAGCGCACTCACCAGATGCGCATAAAATATAAATGTGCATTAAGCTCAATATGAATCTGTAGGGAACCCCTTTAAGTAGATCTGCCAGACAGCATGGAACCAGGATCCCTCCTCTGGACATAAGCTTCCTCTGCAGCCACGCTTCCACTGGGGTCCTCTTTCGCCGTTATATTGCATGTCTCTCCAACCTGAAAGTACAGCGGTGCAACCGGGAAAAAAACTGGCAGCCGAACCCGGAAATGACGTACTAGGAAGCTGTTCCGCTGGGCGGAAACGCGAGACAGCTGTTTATATGTTTTAACCGGGATTATTGATTATTATTGAATTTGAAGTACACTTTTATTGATTTTTAAAAAAAAAATTATATAGTATTTTATAGCGCTGCACCGTTTCTATATTTTTGTATTGTTCACTAGGTTTTGGGGTAACTAGTATTTTCAGAAAGATCAGTAGCAGTAACCTGTTTTTTCCCCGTGTCAAGTTTGCTTTAACATTTTACATACATTTCAAAATGGCACCAAAACTGAAAAGCAGACCTGCTTAGGTGTCTGTATTTACTTTTCTCTGAAGGTACTACTTTACAAACTTTGTAATATAGAAGTGGTTTTGGATTTCTTAATTGGTCACAGAACCTTAAAGTAATGGTTTTCCACACAAAAAAATGAAGGCAGAATAGGACCCTGGGCAGGGTAACAGCTTCGACCCCCTCATCCATTCGATTGACATTGATAAAGACTGCTATAAGTATAGGGAAGCTGCTCCATTTGCATGTCCACACCTGACATGCAGTCTTGATACTTCATTATTTAAGAGAGGGTGCAGGAGACATTTGTTCTGGATCTGAAGAAGAGGCATGTCCTTGAAACATGTTAGCCTGTTGGATGTCCATTTACCCTGTGATGGGATGAAGTGTTCTGTGGATTGAATGGGGCTATTGTTAATGATGAGCCTTTGTCTCACTCATCTTTTGTGAGTACAATATATACCACATTTATACAATAAATTGTTTTTTTAAGGTGAATACACTAGGCCAGTGCGCCCTCTTTTTTGTTTTTTTCAGTTACAGTGTTTTTGGACTTTCCCAGTCCTTTGAGGGCAGCTAGGTGAGTGTCATCTATGAAAGCCAGGATGAAGCCATAATCCAATATGACCTTTGCGCCCACTCCCTTGTGCAGGAGATGTTTGCATTTTGACTTTCAGGCAATCTACTACCTTGCATCATGCTGCAGCCAATAGAACTTAATGAAATGGCATTGTGTGACATTTCGATAGTTTGCTTTAAAAAAAAAAAAAGTGAACAGTGTGATGCGCTGCAATTGGTGCATCAGCACTGCTGCCATCCCACCGCTGATGTAAATGTACCCTAAAGGTCATAAAATGTATTTTATGTTTCTGTTTTTACAACTTCTTTTCTTTTACATTTATGAATGGATTTGTGGTTGTTAACAAATCCATTCATAGTTCTGATCTCTGGAGTGAGTACAATTGTGAGTCGCCATTGTCCTCACTTCAGCATTACACATTCATATGAATGGCTTTGTTTACCTTCAAATCTATTCATACATAATCAATGGGTGTGAAGGTATTCAAAGGCATTCATACCCTC